ATTCTCCTTCTCCAACTCACAAGCCCTTCGTTTTCCGCAAAGTTATTATCCATAGAACTTGACAACTTAAGCAAATGAAGAGTCCTCGATTTTTATGTAGAATAATAATAAAATCAATGTTCTAAGAAAACGAATTTTTGTGTTGAAAAGCTGTAAAAACTAGAAGATAATTTAAGAGGAAGAGCTTTTAATTTATACCCTTAAGGCTCTAACTACCAATATATAGTCACATTACTACAACAAAAGCAAAAAAAAATACGTGACACTACAAGTTACGCGCTTTCTAAAATATGGATAGAGTTTTTCATATACGTTTCTCTTTGTATCACAATCACACCTTTAAACATCAAAAGTTACATTACAATCTAAGTTATGCATACGTAAGTAGAACATTGGATACAATCACAATGGTATTATTGGATATAGGGCTAAGAATGTAGTTTCGGTATAATCTCGTGTTCGATTCTTGTGTGTACAAACTCTATGCTTGAGGTGTTTTAGCCGTGGTGTGGTGGATTTGCGGGGAACTCTTTACCATAGGTCCATAGGAGATGCTCTAACCATGATTACTTAGGCGTTCTACGAAAATCGCATACTTGATGCTAAATAAAAAAAATAGAATAACATATATATTTTTATTTAATCCCAACTAAAACTTAGAATAATCTAAATATCGTCATAATACATAAACGGAAACATTTTCTCTCGTATTGTCTTAATCCAGCATTGATCGTTTCAAAGTTTGAGTTTTACATATAATTTAATTACAGACTAGACGAGAAGCATAGGTCTAAGGGTCCCATATAGTATGGATTACTTTGTAATGTATTTTTAAAACATTAGGACATAATTTGTTCAGTGCATATTCGAAAAAACAGCTGACAAAAATAATAAATTATAAACAAACGTAGAAAAAGGATAATGTACATATTTCTATATATTTTCGTAATCTTTAGAAGTATTTCCAATAAGATCATTTATTTTATATAAAAGTCCTATAACATATAGGCAACTTGCATCTATATATTTTCAACTGGTAAAGCGTATATT